GACGCTCTTCCGATCTCCCCAAAACCCCAAAACCCCATCAGATTAAGATAATTCTCTTATAGGGAAAGAACGGCATTAAAAGATATATTTATTTATTTAAAGATATTCATTCATTGATGGAGTCAAGACTTGAGCAGCTTCTCAACAAATTTGAAGCACTTGTCAATAGATTTGAAAATGCCTAGGGTGGTTAATCTGATTCAACTGCTCCTTAAACCTCAGCTCCAGCTGGTAATGCATCAAGTGGGACTAAACTTACTAAGGAATTTGATGCTGAGATCAATCCAAAGATTAAATTGCTTGAAGAAGCTTCAGCTAAATTAGGGGGTGAACTTATCAAGACAATTGTAAGATTAGTTATTTTTTAAAAGTTCTACATATAGACTGACAAATACATCAGTACTGTTCTCTAGCAAAGAGATATATTAGTAACAATGAGCTAAGCTGCAAAGCCAGCTAATTTGCAATTCTTAATTAAGCCTGTATCAAATGCGAAAAACGATATCAAGGCACTAAAGAACAAGGATCCCAAACTTGGCAACCATGTTCAAACAGTTGCAGATGGATTCGATCTCTTTGCTTGGTTTGCTCAGGTATGATCCCAATCAATAAAAAATTTAAATTCCTATAGACTGATGTGAAGGAGTTCTTAGATGAGAACTTGAAGAACATCGATTTCTACGGTTTCAAGGTCCTCCAACTCAAGCAGGAAAATGATTCTGCTTGGTAAAAAGCATATAAAGAACTAGCAAAAACTTTCTGTGACTTCGTATCAACTAATGCTGATACTATCTTAAACTGGACTGGCAATGATGCTAATGCTGAAGATGTTTTTAATGCTTAACTAGGAAAGTCAGAAGCTATTTTCAGAGGTAAAGGCCAAGTAGAAGAAGTTAAGAATCAAGCTGTCAACCTTTTAGCAGATATCCAGGGTGGCAAGACCATGAACTAGAACTTAGTGCATGTTGAGAGAAATGCCCACAAGAAGGGTGCTGATGGCCCTCTCTAACCTATTCCAAAGAAAGAGATCGCACCAAAGACTGCTGCCGCAAAGGTAGAAGTAAAAAAAGATCCAAAGACTGAGTTCACCATGAACACCTACTATATTGTAAGATCAATCCATTAAAACCATAAATAGTAAAATTATGGAAAAGAGACATTGAAGTATGAAGGAGAGCAAGTTGAATCAAATTATGGTTTTGCTTTGATCAAATGCAAGGATACTACTCTTCTGGTGGACGGCAAATGCAAAAATATAATGCTTGAAAACTGCCAAAATGTAAGAGTAATTGTAGACTCTTGTCTCTCTATTGCTGAAGTTATCAACTGCCAAAAAGCAACTATAACGATCAAGAATTAGTAATTAGATTGTTTATAATTTTTATCTAGAATACCTCAATTCTCTGTTGAGAGAAGTCAAGGAGTCTAAATTTATTTGTTTGAACCAGCTAAAAATTGCAAAGTCCACACAACTTGCTCTCAATCTGTAGTTCTTCACTACCCAAAGATAAATGGTACTGAAGATGATGAATGGTTTGATATTGGTATTGCTGAGACATTCGTAACTGCAATCAAAGATGATAGACTTATCACGCAGGCCCTTGAAAGTGTTGAATGACAAAATAATTTACCTTTAAATAGAGAAAAGTGGCAGTTTTGAGACTATGCAAAGACACTTTGGCACGATGCATAGTTTTCTATCAACAAATTTTCCAACTGTGTGCTGAATAAATGACAGTTCCTAATACATCATCAAGAAAATCAGAATCTTACATTATATTATAATGAAGTCAAATATTTCTTCTCTCCACTAGATTAAGTAATAATAAAATGCATAAGCTTGAATTAATAAGTTTCACCTCTATTATTAAACCCTAATTGATATCTTCCGCACAATTACTACAATTTTGAGCGATTGAAATCTATGTCAACGTAATAGCCCTCAGGGAAGCAGATCTGAATATTGAGATTAAATTCATCAGAAATTACTAATTGAATATTACTGAGATAAAGGTATTACTCTTTCATGTTGCTCATCATATATGTCTACGAGTCATTCTTGTTCTATGGGACTGCTGAAAAGTCACTTTCATCTTTGAGAATTTTTGGATAGCTGTCAAGAATTTAGGCATTACAAGGCAAATACTGATCTTTATCAAGATAAATATTTGTTCTATCCAAACTTATATCTGGAAAATTATGATCTTATTCCTCTATCTGTTCGCCACAAGCAAAATCAGTTAAATTCTTCTCTGTAAAAATATCACTTATCAATAATTTACTTAGGACCTATTCATGAGCACCTATAATTACAAATGCTTCACACAACTCAATGCTGGTTTGAAGAGCTTTGGAATCAATCAGAGCTCAATAACTATCTGTATATTGCAAAACTTTTTTCTTATTCCCTAATTCCTCCTCAGCTTCCTGAAATTTGTCTCTAGTACCCATAAGTAGACTATTATCAAGAGACTCAATCTTATACGATTGATCTTTTATGTCTAGTTGCAAAGTCGTCATTTGATCAAGTTTTAACAGCCTAATTTCGTTTAATTTTAGTAAAATTGAAACATACTTCCTATTTGTTTCTTTATTGTTTATTTTCAAATTATTTATATTTTATTAATTTCTATAATAGTAGTATTATCGCTTGGGGTTTTGGGGTTTTGGGGTTTTGGGG